CCAGGTCACTATGTACGGATAAGGGCCCTCCTGGGATCTTCCTAAAAGCCATCTGTCAGAGGCCATGGGGTTATATTTGGGGCCCAAGCTATAGAGGCAGTGCTGGGCCCATTACCACTTGGCATAAGGTCCTCTGGAAACATGTGAGTTCCAACTGGTTGTCTAGGTCTGGCTGTGCCCCATCCTGAGTGCCTTGCAGAGGCTGAGAAAGCTGGAACAGTAGGGAAAATTAAGTGGTGCTAGTTTCCAGCTAGCAGCCCTGTCTCTGCTACTCTAAGGGAGGGGAGACATGTTAATACTGAGGGGCTGGGTAGAGAAAACTTCCCCCAGGTTCCAGAGACAGAGCCCAGGAACCCAAGGCAGGCCCATTGCCAGGGCCACAACCCTGAGGGAAGCCCAGAAACTTTCCATGGAGAGCAAACTTGACAAGCCTGACCAAGCCAGGAAAGGAATTTACAAACCACCAAACAGCTCAAACACTCTGTGCAGGCCGGAGGACCCCAGCAGGCTGCTGTCCCCAGACCCAGCCCAGTCCTGAGTTTGGAGCTCTCCCAGGAAGAACAGTGAACAAACCTGGCTTCCTCACAACAAAAAACAATAGTCAGGAATCTGTCTGTTTCAACAGAGTGGTAGCAAGATGAGCCAGAGCCCAGAAAAACAGACATGTCTGTAGGTAAAATGTATATTCTGCTGCTCGGACAGAAAGGCCAGGTGCTGTGACTCCACATTCCTACTGGGGAGAAAGCCATGGCAGCTCTCTGTGCCTCAGCTCCAGCTGCTGCTTCCTAAGCACTATGAGCTTGACCTGCCCTACCAGGCCTGAGGCACAATGCAGGGAATGTAGGCCTAGCTCCCATTTTCAAGGTCTCGGCTCTCTGGCTGGAATTTAGTAATGCTGGGAAGAGGGGAGTGGAGCAGGGAAGGGACTTTGGTGAGAGCCATGAGGCAAGAGTGCTGCAATGCTGGGGTCAGTAGTCTTCGTTGCCACCTGGCCTTGTAGGGCCCTGAGTGTTTCTGCAGGTCAGGCTTTCGCTGCTTGTGGAGCCAGCAGATACTATCCCATTGACACCAGCACACAGAGATGTTTTGCTCTATCAGACTGGCCTGCATGCCTCCCTGGGCCAGCATGGAGGTGAGTGTGCAGATGAAATTATAGTTGTGGGTCCTTCTCTGGTCATCAGTCTTGAAATTCTTCCTCTTCTTTATTTCTTCCTCGAGGCAATGAGTTCTGGAGTGATTTCCCTTCTTTCATTTATCACAGTAAATTATCTTTTCTCTTTTTTAGTTAGCCTGACTAGAGGCCTTTCAACTTTATTGATCTTTTCAAATAACCACTTCTTGATTTTGTAGATTTTCTCTGTTGAGTTCTGGTTTTCAATTTCATTGATTTGTGCTCTAATTTTTATTATTTATTTCCTTATTATTATTTGAGACTTAACTTTCTCTTCTTTTACTATTTTCCTAAGGTGAAAGCTTAAATTATTAATTTTAGATTTTAATATTTTTATAATATACATTCAATGCTATAAATTTTTCTGTCAGTACTTTTGGCTTCATCACACAAATTTTTAAAAATTGTATTTTAACTTTCATTTAATTGAAAATACTTTTTAATATTTTTTAGGTTTCTTTAACTCATGTGTTATTTAGAAGTGTGTTGCTTAATATCCATGTCGTTTAGGATTTTCCAATTATCTTTCTGTTATTGGGTTCTATTCCACTGTGCTCCAAGAATAGATATTGTAGGATTTCATGGCTCAAATGTGGCCTGTTGGTCTATGTTTCATGTAAGCTTGAGAAGACTGTATAATCTGCTGCTCTTTTCTGAAGTAGTCCATCAATATCAATTGTATCTAGTGGATCAATGGTACTGTTGAGTTCATCTATGTCCTTAACTATCTTTTCCTGGTTAAATTTGTTCATTTGAGAGTAGAGTGTTAGTCTTCAACTATTTTCAACTAAAATTGTTGATTCACTTACTTCTTACAGTTCTACCAGCTTTTGTTTTACATATTTCGATACTTTGTTATTAGGTGTATACATATTAAGGATTGTTCAGTCTTTTGGGGTATTGACTTCTCTATCATTGCATAATGTCTCTCTTCATCCCTAATAACTCTTCTTGCTCTGATGTCTGTTCTGTTTGAAATTAATATAGCTACTCTTACTTTCTTTTGATTATGTCATATTATATCTTTCTTCTTTTCTAGACTTTTAATTTATGTATGTCTTTATATTTAAAATGACTTTCTTGTAGACAACATATAGTTGGTCTTGCTTTTTGAATCACTCTTACAACCTGTCTTTTAATTGAAGTTTAGACCATTGACATTCAAAGTGATCATTGATATCTTTGGATTAATATCTATCATATTTATTACTATGTTCTATTTGTTGTCCTTATTCTTTATTCCTATTTTGTCTTCCATACTTTCTTTGCCTTTGTGTTTTTATTGTTTTCTATATTTTCAAATTTTTCCCAAAAATAAACAATACTTTTTAAATTTTAAAATCTCAAAAAGACTTATTATTTGATATGTGAATAAAAATATCTTGATTTATTAGTCTGTATCTTATCTTCAGGCACAACATATGTTGATGAAAAGCTTGAAAACATTTTTTCCACTTCTTGTGTTATGCAATTTCAGGTCTATTCCTGCTTCTTTGTTCACCTCTCCCTCTCTTTTCACCAAATGGAGACATTTTTAAAAATCAGTCTTCAATTCTCATGCCTGTGTAACTCTTCACTATCACACGGAGAACTCCAAAATTCTCTCTTTATAACTCTAGCAATCACCTCTATGCAGGTCAATTCTAATATTCATTTACAGCCCTGTAGACAAGATACTTCTCTTGAATACCACATCTGTACCTCAAAGACAACATCTTGAAGTCATGCTGACTTCTTACTACCTTAAGCCAGTTCTACCCTTAACTTCACTACTTGTGTTAATTCATTTCCCCATCAAAGTATATCATTGAAGCTTCTGCTTTTTCCCTATATATTTAGCCAAGTGTTACATATTTCCCACTTATATTTTAAGTAATCTCATATGACTGTCTCTTTCTTTCCATTACCATTGCCTCCATCTCAATTTAGTCCTTTATCACTTTGTGCCTAGACTCTGAAATAGCCTTTTTATTATTCTCACCACTATAATTGCTTCTCACTGTCTCTCAAATGTAAGTTACTTTCTTGCTGCTCAACATCACATGAAAATAGGCTAAGAATGCAAAATCTTGGGTTCTGCCCCAAAATGTGGTATCAGACTCTGCATTTTAACAAGCCTACAAAATCACACATTGACTGATGTTTATAAAGTGTTTGGCTTCTTCGTAACACAATGCCTCCTTACTTATAGAATCTTCCCTTCTCTGGTCAAACTCCTGAAATTCAGTTGTCTTCCTCCATGAGGCTGCCCCATACTGCTCCAGTTCACCAAGCTCACTCTTTCACAGAATGCCTATTGTTTCCACTCATTCTGGTACTTAATATTCTATTTATTTCTTCTAGGAACATGTTGGCCTTCCCCAAGCAGATTGTAAATGCCTGAGCAAAGGCTTTATTTGCTTTCCTCTATACATCTAAATAGATGATAAGGGTTTGTAGATCAAATAAATTGGTTCAGTACTTTCTAGGCTGAAAATTATTAAGTATTTACACATTTTAGAAACATTTTATCTGATTTCATACCATATGCTACTCACTTTTTAAAGTTTATTCTATGCCTCAGAAGAATTCAAATATATATTTTCCTTAAATAAATTGATCAAAACATTTCTACTTATACTATATTTTCCTAAAATAATAGCTAAGACTCATTGATTTAGCTCTATGATCCAAATACTTGTCAGCTCAGTGCATTTAAACCTTAATATTCATCAAACAAATGCATTCTATTGCTTTCCAGATATATTTTACAGATGGAGAAAACTGAGGCACAGAAAAGTTAATGGTTTTGCCTAGAGTAACACAGTGGTAAGTGGTGGAACCAGGCTGGGAACTCATAATGATTCTTACCTATTGGGTGTACAGCCTACTTCATTTGCCTGCATAATTAACATGTACTATTGATTCCCATTAATCAGAATTACATGAAAAAGTTAAGAGATATGAAGATTAATTATAAGATACCTGTAAAACATTTGACTACTTGAGAAAGCAATTAAATAGATATGGAAAAAACTCTACATTTAGACTGTTGGATAATTCTTCTTCATCACCATTAATCCACATATGTGAATCTGTAACAGTAGCATCTCTAGTGGCTTTTAATGCAAAGCTAGAATAGCTAAATGGTAATCATTTAAGTACAACCTTAAGAATTTGCTGTTATTTGGATATATGTCAAGTTCATTGCCTTCCAATAACTAATCTTTTCCTGAAAAGTCTATATAAGAATAATGATGTGTTGACTAAAGGTAATACTGTATGACAATGTTGTGCCTACTAGAAAGTCTAAAGTAATTCAAATTTTTGACAAAAAAAATTAAACTTAGTATGCAAAAGGTACATAGGTCAAGGAATAATCCAACCAATATCTTGTTGACATCTAAAGCATTACAAAAACAGAAATATAAACTGACAATTACATTGAATTGTATTTCAGAAAAATGTAAATAATAAGCATCTTCATGAATGTATTTCAATAATGTGCATTTTTTTCTAACAGACCACTCCACAGCAGGGTATGGTAGAGAAAAACAAGGGTTTGAGAGCTAGGCAGTCCGAAGGCTGAATCCCAAATGACTGCTAACCTTAGACAAGCTAATAAACTTCTTAGAACTCTTATTTTCTATGTTGGAAAGTAAGAATAAAATGTCGCTGTTACTATGCTTTCTCAGAATAAATATAATGTATTTAAATTTCCTTAAGGTGTTTAAATATTACAGGCAATATTACCACCTCAGGCAGAGTAGTTAGTTACCAGTGCTATTGTAAGGGTTACAAATAGGGAAATAAATGCACATGTTTTTCTTTTTATTCTTTTTTTTTAGGAAAAAATATGGAACACTTCATGAACGTATGTGCTACCCTTGCACACAGGGCCATGGTAATATTCTCTCTATTGTTCTAATTTTAGTATATGTTCTGCTGGAGCAAAACAAATATAAATGCACTTTTAAAATGTAACTTTAGCAAATTAGCAAAATAGGAAGCCCCAGATTTTCTCCACCCACAGAGACACCAACTTAATGATATATTGTCTAAAAACCCTTTAAGAGAATTCCAGAAACTGGTTAAAAAAATCACAGTAATCCAAAAAAGTGCAAAGCCAAAACCAGCCACATTGAAATAGATAAGAAAAGTTTCACCCATGAGAGCTCCTCCCCCAAGGCAGCACAGAAACAGCTTAAAGAAATGTAGACCTGAGAATTATGAGACAAAAAATCAAAATAATCATCTTAAAGAAGTCCAATGAATGCAAGAGAATATGGACAACTAAGCAAAACTAGGAAAATGGTGCATGAACAAAATGAAAATATAAACAAAGAGATAGATACTCTTAAAAAACAGAAATTTAGGAATAGAATTATACAATAACTGAAATAAAATATTCACTAGGAGAGTTCAACAGTAGACTTGATCAAATAGAAGAAAGAATCAGCAAAAAATGACTTGAAGATAAGTCATTTCAAATTATTAAGTCAGTGAAACAAAAAGAAAAAGTTGAATAAAAGTGTAAAAAAATCTAAGGAAGATATAGGAGCAGAGAGTATTTTTAAGAAATAATTACCAGGGATGAAGCAAAGCCTCAGAACCACCACCTGGCCTGGTCTTGGTCCATGACACCTATTGTGACACCCATCCACCCTGTGTCCACCATTGTAGCCATGGGAGTGTATGTGGCAACCATCTACCCAGAAATAGTTGTACTTTCCTGATACCTGGGCAGACCTGCATGGTAAACTACATGGGGATGCTTGAAGATAGGAAAAAAAATGGTTTCTCCTAAGACAGACACAAACCATTTAAGTTTATACTAAGCTGGGAAGAAGGGGTTGCCCAGACGAGTGTGGGTCAGAGATCCAAACTGACTATCTCCTCATACTGTGCCTATGGTATAACTGGGCACCCAGGCATCACTCCACCAAATGCCACTCTTGTTTTAACATGATGCTTCTAAAACTGGAATAACAGAGATGGCCCACTTCCTGAGCTCCTGTTCCTGGACGTTCCATAGTGGGATCCATTACCCACAATGAGCACACACAAATCTGTTTAGAGCTCTTCATGATGTTCTACTACACTCTGTATAAACATCTGCCCTGACTGTTTGCATCCTGCCAACCAGCTTTGCTCTTCCTCTTTCTCTTTGTATATATGTTGACCTAAACTACATTCCATGAACCTCAAGTAATTCTTTTTGTTTTCATTTTGGTGGCAAAGATTCAGTCACAGTCTTTTATATCTAGGTTTCCAATTAAATAATAGTCAAGTAGTAACAACACACCTTGAGATTGGGAATTGGTGTGTAGGGAGAGGGAAATGTAAGAATATTAATTCCATCTTATTTTTCGATGAAATTTTTATCTATTATATATTAAACATTAAACAAGGGGACAGTGACCAGAGGGGAGAGGGAAGGGAAGTTAGGGGGAAAAAGGGGGAGGGATTTGGAGGAACAAATAGGAAGGACACAGGGACAAGAACTAAGGGGGGTGGAAATGGGAGGGAGGTGGGGAGCAAGGGGCGGGGGAGGCTGGGATTGGAGAAATGGACAAAAAAAACTGTACTTGAAAAATAAATAAAATTAATTTTAAAAAATTTTAATTAAAAAAAATTTATTGTTGTTCAAGTAGAGTTGTCTTCATTTTCCCCCTACCACTCCCATCACCTCACCATTTCACCCTTGATTCTACCCCTTTTTGTCTTTGTCCATGGGTCTTTTTTACATGTTCATTGACAACCTTTCCCCTTATCCCCTTGTCATTCCCTCCCACCTCTCCTCTGGTTACTATTTGTTTTTTCTTTATTTCAATGTCTCTGGTTATATTTTGCTTGCTTGTTTGTTTTGTTGATTAGGTTCCACTTATAGGTGAGATCATATGGTATTTGTCTTTCACCACCTGACTTATTTCAATTAGCATAATGCTTTCCAGTCCATCCATGACGTTGTGAAAGGTAGGAGCTCCTTCTTTCTTTCTGCTGCATAGAATTCCATTGTGTAAATATAGCCTGTTTTCGATCCACTCAATTACGGATGTGCACTTAGGTTGCTTCCGGCACTTAGCTATTGTGAATTGTGCTGCTATGAACATGGGGGTGCACAAGTTCTTTTGAATCAATGTCTCAGGATTCTTAGTGTATGATCCCAGCAGTGGAATTGCTGGTTCAAAAGGCACATCCATTTTTAGTTTTCTAAGGAAATTCCATACTGTTTTCCACAATGGCTGCACCATTCTGCATTCCCACCAACAGTGTACTAGAGTTCCCTTTTCTCCAGAGTTTCGCCAGCACTTCTTATTTGTTCATTTGTTTATGATGGCCATTCTGACAGGTGTGAAGTGGTATCTCATTGTGGTTTCAATTTGCATCTCTCTGATGGCTAGTGATGCTAATCACCTCTTTATACATCTCTGGGCCCTCTCTATGTCTTCCTTGGAGAAGTGTCTGTTCAGGTCCTTTGTTCACTTTTTCATTGGGTTGTTTGTCTTCCTGAAGTGGAGTCATGTGAGTTCTTTATATATTTTGGAGATCAGATAGCCTTGCCCATGATAGCATTGGCAAATATATTTTCCCGGATGGTTGGTTCCCTTTTCATTTTGCTGATGTTTTCTTTAGCCATGAAGAAGCTTTTTATTTTGACTAAGTCCCATTTGTTAATTTTTTCTTTATAGCCCTTGCTCTAGGGGCTATATCAGTGAAAATATTGTTGCATGGAATATCTGAGATTTCCATGCCTATGTTACCCTCAGGGACTTTTATGGTATCATGACTTACATTTAAGTCTCTTATTCAACTTGAGTTTATTTTTGTTTATGGTGTAAGTTGGTGGTCAAGTTTCATTTTTTTGCATGTAGCTTTCTAGCTCTCTCAACACCATTTGTTGAGGAGGCTATTTTTGCTCCACTTTATGCTTCTTCCCCCTTTGTCAAATATTAACTGCCTATAGAGACTTGGGTTCATTTCTGGGCTCTCTATTCTGTTCCATTGATCTAAGTGTCTGTTCTTATGCTGGTACTAAACTACTTTGATTACTGGGGCCTTGTAATATATTTTATGTCAGGTATTATGATTCCTCCTACTTTGTTTTTTCTCAAAATTGTTGCAGCTATTTGGGGTCCTTTATGATTCCATATAAATTTTTGAAATGTTTCCTCTATATTTTTTAAATATATCAATGGTATTTTAATAGGGATTGCATTGAATCTATAAATTGGCTTTGCATAGTATAGATGCAGTGATCAAACAAGAAAATAAATAAAAGTGGGCAGTGACCAGAGGGGAGAGGGAAGGGAACTTAAGGGGAAAAAGGGGGAGGGATTTTGAGGAACAAGTATGAAAGACACAGAGATAAGGACTGGGGGGGGGGGAATGGGAGGGAGGGGGGAGACCGGGCGGGGGGGGGGGGTGGGATGGGAGAAATAGATAAAAAAAAAATGTACTTGAAAAGTAACTAAATAAAATTTATATTTAAAAAAAAAGGCATCTAAATTGGAAAGAAGGAAGTAAAAATGTCACTATTTGCAGATGACTTGAGAGTATACATTGAAAATCCTATAGACTCCACCAAAAAACTACTCAACCTAATAAGTAAATTTGGCAAAAAAAAAAAAAAACAACCAGGATACAAAGTCAACATTCAGAAATTAAAGGCATTTTGTATACCAACAACAAAATATCAGAAACAGATATCAGGGAAAAAAATCTCATTTGCTATAGCAACAAGAATAATAAAGTAGCTAGGAATAAACCTAACCAAGGGGGTAAAAGACCTACCTATACTCAAAAAACTATACAACACTGAAGAAAGAAATTAAGGAAGACATAAATAAATGGAAGCATATACCATGTTATATAAAACATTAAACATTCTATATTAAACATTCTTGCTTGTGTGCTACAAAGCCATAGCATATTTGAAGCACTGTTCAGGGCCTAATCATCTCCAAGTTGAAAAATGTCATTGGGTTAAATTAAGAGTCCTACCTAAAACCAAAGTGGTGGAGGGGAGAACCCTTGACTCCACCACCCCATTCCACTCTCCCCTGAAACCCTCTACCTTTTAAAAGCAAATCTTTTTCACTGTATGTTGGACAGGTATCTGTCCCAGGCTAGCAGAGAGCTTTGAAGCCTTCTTTGTAGCCTCGATTCCCCTCCCCTCAACCTATGCTTTTATTCCTAATAGATACTTGGGACTTTTATAATCTCATTGCTATCCAGGCTTCAATTCCTAAATTTTAATAACTTTATTTAAAAGTTTACATTGAAGGTTCTGTTTGTAAACACTAAAAGCCCAATGAAAACCCAGCCATCATGACAAATCCCTAAGTGCTGTCTTAACAAAATGATGCTGGTCATCACAGCTTCAGCCTCTCTTGTTTTTTGATGTTCAGCTTCCCCTGTTGATCTCAAAGTTTCCTGGCTTTTCTTTCCCTCAATCTCTCCTTTGCTGTCCTGTGTAGTGATTTGGTGAGAGAAATTATTACTGCCTAATCCTCAACCATCACCCTAGCATTACATATAAATTTCAAGTTTTATTATTGCAATAAAAGTGCTTTAATCTGGCTTTTCAAAAGTAGGGGGAAATAAGTAATTACCACTACTTCCAAAATTTTAGGAAAGGAACAGGCAATCAGATTCAATACATTCAGAAGATTCCAACTAGGGCAGACCCAAAGAAACTCACATTGAGACAATTATAATCAAACTCTCAAAAGTCAAAGATACAGAGAAAAATGATGAAAGAAGCAAAAGAAAAGCAACTCATCATGTACAAGGGCACTCCTGTATGAGTATCAGTAGGTTTCTCAGCAGAAATATAAGCGTGTAGGAGTGTAATGACATATTCAAAGTACTGAAAATATCTAATGTCAACCAAGAATACTGTATCTAACTAAACTATCCTTCAAGAAATAAAGGAGAAATAAAGATTTTCCAAG